CATAAACTCTGAGAAGACCTACATAACAGGTAAAGAGATTGAATCAGAATAATCAAAAACCTCCCCAAATGAGCACATCATACCACATGGCTTTATTGGTGAGTTCTACCAACCATTTAAAGAATGAACATGAATATTTTGTAAAGTCTTCTAAAGGAGAGAATAGAAGGGAACTCTGCCTAAAAACTCTATGTGGCCAGTACTACTCTGTTAACAAAACCTGTAAAGACATGACAAGAAAAGAAAAGTAAAAAACAATGTTCCTTATGAATATAGATGCAAAAACCTTCAACGAAATATGAGAATTTCATCTTTTGATAGCATATTCATTATTACAAGTCATAATTATTCTTTGTGCCCCTTACGCAATTTCCCTCTAAACACCTATCTCCCTTTCCACCTCTAGTAACCATAGATTTCTTCTCTCCTGAATGTTCAATGTATTATTGTGGTGTCGGTCTCTCTTTCTCTCCCCCTCCCTCCCTCTCTCCCCCTCCCTCTCTCTCTCTCTATCTCCCTGTCCTTCCCCCTTCCTGGCACCCACTTATGAGTGAGGACATGCAGTATTTCTCTTTCTGAGTGGCTTGTTTCACTTAACATGATTTTCTCCAGCTCACCCATGTTGCTGGGAATGGTAAATCTTCATTCTATTTTATGGCTGCGTAGTATTCTCCTGTGTTTATATACCACATGTTCCTTATCCAGCCATCCACTGAAAGACATTTAGGTTGATTCCATATCTTGGCTATTGTAAATAGAGCTGCTGCAATGAACACGGGAGTGCAGGTATCCTGTTTTCCATTCCTTTGTGTATATTGAGAATATACCCAGAACTAAGATTCCTGGACCATATTGTAGATCTATCTGTAGTTGTTTGAGGAGCCTCCATACTGTTTTCCATACAGGTGCAACAATTTACAGTCGCACCAACAGTGTAGGAGTGTTCCCTTTTCTCCACATCCTCGCCAGCATTTGTTATTCTCAGTCTTTTTAATAATGGCCAATCTAACTGGGGTGAGATGATACCTTGATATGGTTTTAATTTGTTTCCCGAATGTTT